CTTTAAAGTGATTTAACTTCCAAAATTAAGTCTATGTATTTTATTTTTTGTTTATTTTTTGAGACGGAATCTGGCTTTTGTCACCCAGGCTGGAGTGCAGTGGCCTGATTTCGGCCTCCCGGGTTCAAGCGATTCTCCTGCCTCAGCCTCCCAAGTACCTTTGACGACAGGCGCTCACCAACATGAGTTTTTCCTGTTTTTAGAAGAGACGGAGTTTCGCCATGTTGGCCAGGCTGGTCTCGAACTCCTGACCTTCAGATGATCCCCAGCCCCCGCCCCCAGCCTTCTAAAGTGCTGGGATTACAGGCGCACACCAACCCGCCTGGCTAACTTTTTCCTGCTTTTAGTAGAGACGGAGTTTCGCTATGCTGGCCAGGCTAGTCTCGCGCTCCTGACCTTCAGATGATCCGCTCCCCCTTGGCCTCCCAAAGTGCTGGGATTACAGGCGTGAGCCATCGCACCTGGCCCGATATTTTATTTTTCAAGCGCACACTTTAAAACATGTTATTCACATTATAGAAAAGTGTATGTAATGAGAGAAACAGTTCCCATAATATATTAACTTCTGGGCTAAAAATTCTTTGGATAAAATCCAATATCCATTTTATATCCATGTACCCCTATGTAAATATATACTTTACTGAGGAACCTTAGAAGGAAACATTAAAGTGGGAAGATGGTTCGTGTTCTTGAATAGGAAGAATTATTTCTTTCAAGATGGGAGCTCTTTCTGTGTTTATCAATGTCACCTACCCCAAAGAAAAACACCAAAGTTTTAACATTTAAAAATTGCACATGCTATATTTTATTGTTATGATGACATTAAAATTTTTTTGTAATGCAGTGAAAACCAATTTGCCTTCGCAGATATCAAAATGTGCTTTTAATTTCTACAAATGGTTTACTAACAGCTGGAAGACGTACATAAATGGAATAGAATACAAAATCCAGAAACACCCAAATATAAAAAAGAATATAGCACTTGATAATGGTGGCATTTCCTATTAGTAGAAAAAGATGAATTATTTGTAAATGGAGTGCCTGCTGTTTGGAGAAAACTAGCTAAATATGTCACAAAAATAGGTTCCAGATGGAATATAGATTAAAAATTTTTAATATACAAAAAGAAAACTACCAGAAGAAAACACAAGTGCCTGTTTATACAGACACATTTTTATGTTGACGAAGACCTTCCTAAGGAACTCACAAGCAAGCATTTTGAAGGTTGGTTTAGCAAAATAGAAATGGAAACACCCCATACATAAGAAAAAAATTGACAAAACACAACATATTTGCAATGTATTTACAACATACATGTATATACACATATCAGATGAACTGTGTATTTTCATTTTACGGAGGATTCTTTGAAATCAACAAGGAAATAAGCTTAAAATTGGGCAAAGTACTTTTTTGCAGCTCTACAGTTGACCTACACACATAGGAAAACACAGCTCTACAGCTGACCTATGCACATATTTAGTGTTTCTGGTAAGAGAAGGAATTTAAGTTAAAAGAAGAATAAAATACTGTTTTCTATCTACAAAGTTGTGAGGATGAAGAGCAGTGGTACTTATAAGGCTGAGTAAAAAGCGTTGCTGATGGCTTTTCAAATAGACAATTTGGTGGTAAGTGCTACATTAAAAATGTATATGCCCTTTATGCATCAATTCCATGACACTGAAGTATCTTTAGGAAATTATTAGATACATCTAATTTGTTTTCCTTAGTACTGCTGAAAATAGCAATGTTTTAAGAAGAACTCATATAGTGGATTTTATCAACAAATTTCCGTGCACGCATAGGATGGAATAATATGTAGCCATTGAAGGTGCCAATAGATACAGACATATTGAGGGAGAAGAAAAGGAAGAAATAGATAAACAGTTAAGGCTGGTCCTCAGGAATGCTGTCTGCCTGAAAAATCACAGCTACAGTGCACAGCTGCAAAATAGAGCAGCTTGGAGAAAAACTCAGACTGCAGAAGCTGCCTGCCTGCAGAATGACAGCCTGCAGTGCACCTGCCCAGATAAGCAGACAAGGCAGGCAAAGTCCCTTTGTTCTTTGTGTGATTAGCGAGGTCCCAGGAAAAAGTTTCCTCCACCTTTCAGGCATATACATGGTGGGAACTTGCACAGGGAGGCGGGGTGCCTACCTAAAACAAACCCACAGTTGTACAAACAAAAGAAGCAGTGCTTTATGCTTGTCTAGAGACATACCTACACCTACATAGATGAGGGGGAGTTGTGAAGACGGTTTTATAGTTAAGAAAAGTTACTCAAGCAGTTACAGAAATGAGAGCAGTTTTTTATAAAATCTTTTTAATTCAACTGTAACCTGGCAGTCCACTCAGACACCCCTCTCCACTACAGAGAGCTTTATTCTTTGGCTTATTAAACTTTTGCCCCAACCTCACCCTTTGTGTCCGTGCTCCTTAATTTTCCTGGTCATGGACCATAAGCTCTACTACTGTCAGGACCTTCCATCCTTAAAAGCTTTGTGTGTACCTGCCTAGGCTTAGCAAGCTGAAGAGACTTAACATTGCAGTATGAGGACTTCGTCCCAGCAGAAGCTTTTCCTCCCGCCTTTCATACAAAAGCATTTCTGAACGTAGAAAATAGTAAAAGAGAACCTTCAATTGCCATTTTGAAAATTTAAATCCTAGTATTAGTCATTGGAAATATCTGATTTACATACATTCTGTAAATCTAAGTGCCGAATTAAATGAGCCATAACTATTCATTTGAATCCAGAGTTTCTGTTGGCTTAAATATTTTTGAAAATAAAAATAGGAATTACTTGTTTAAAAAATTTGTTGTTGTTTTAACTCCAGCCCTCTTTTGCTATAGTACTTTTTAGAACTAAAATTTATTTAAATGTCAGTCATCTTGGTAGAACTGTCCTAGACCTATTGTATATATCATACTCTACTTAATGTGAGGCACCATGAATTGTATGATGCCCCATTAGTCTTATGTATTATTAATAAGGGAATTTTTAAAGTATTGCCAATTATAGTTATAATAAGTTATGAATTATAAGTGGCATACCAATGTGAGAAGTGTTAAAATAGAAAATGAGCATGTTAGAATTATTGACATACAGCGTCAGCTCTAATCTTTAAAACATACCTCAAAGTGTAGGTATAATTGTATTATTTTACTTAATTAAACTGTCTTTGTTAAGTAGTAGTAATGTAGCAGGATGAGTCGCAGACAAAACTCCTCAGACACCGAGTTAAAGAAGGAGGGGGTTTATTTGGCTGGGAGCATTGGTAAGACTCCTGTCTCAAGAGCCGAGCTCCCTGAGTGAGCAATTCCTGTCCCTTTTAAGGGCTCACAACTCTAAGAGGGTCCACGTGAGAGGGTCGTGATCGATTGAGCAAGCAGAGGGTACATGACTGGGGGCTGCATGTACCGGTAATCAGATCAGAAGAGAACAGGACAGGGATTTTTACAGTGCTTCTCCATATAATGTGTGGAATTTATAGATAATATAACTTGTTAGGTCAGGGATTGATCTTTAACTACTAGGCCCAGGGTGCGGCGCTGGGCTGTCTGCCTGTGGATTTCATTTCTGCCTTTGTAGTTTTTACTTCTTCTTTCTTTGGAGGCAGAAATTGGGCATAAGACAATATGAGGGGTGGTCTCCTCCCTTAGTAATAGCAAAAATTATAATATCTAATAATTATTGAGCTGTTACTTGTGCTGGGAACTGTTCTAATGCTTTGCATAGAGTCTCGTTTAGGCATCATAGTGGTTTTCAATGAGAGCGCTACTATTTTCATTCTCATTTTATTGATGAGGAAATTCAGGCACAAAATAGCTAAGCGATAGCTAGGAAGTGACAGAGTTTAATTTAAAGTAGGACTGCAGCCCAAGTTGAATGGAATCTGAGGGCCACAATCTTTCTGTTCAAATTGGCTGCTCTTTTATTAATGTAGTGAGTAGTAAAAGCTAATAAATACTGTGCTTTTTTCACAAGAAAATTAAATATTTGTTTTGAAGGCAGAGGAATAGCAAGCTATTCAGTGTTTACAATGAATCATTGTATATTTTTAGATAATGCACTATGACTAAAAAGTCTTCCCACTCTCAGGACGGCTCTACATTTGGCCTGTGCCAATGGCCATCCAGAAGTGGTAAAACTCCTGCTGCACAGAAACTGTCAACTTCACGTCTTGGACGGGGAAAAGAGGACAGCTCTCATAAAGGTATATAGTAGCCAACTATTTCAGCATGAGATGGATTTGAATTCAGTGTATAGAATAAAAATGTATTTATCTCATTTGAGTATAACTAGTTGGTCAAACCTGTGGAATGTTTGTTTTCACTTCCTAGAATTTACGATTTATTTCTTGATCTAATACTGACAGGCTGTCCAATGTCAGGAAGAGGAATGTGCAAATATTTTGCTAGAACATGGCACTGATCCAAATATCCCAGATGTCTATGGCAACACTACTCTACATTATGCCATCTATAATGAGGATAAATCAATGACAAAAATACTACTTTCTTATGGTGCAAATATTGAATCAGAAAACAAGGTATAGATCAACTAGTTTTGTTTTCAAAATATTTGAAATGCATTTATTTATTTTTAAACTTTTAATTTCCATGGATTTTCGGGGAACAGGTGGTATTTGGTTACATGAGTAAGTTCTTAGTAGTGGTGATGTGTGAGATTTTGGTGCACCCATCTCCCGAGCAGTATATACTGAACCCCATTTGTGGTCTTTTATCCCTCACTCCCTTCCCAGCCTTCCCTGCTGAGTCTCCAAAGTCCATTGTGTCATTCTTATGCCTCTGCATTCTCATAGCTTAGCTCCCATTATGACTGAGAACATAAGATGTATGATTTTCCAGTTCTGAGTTACTTCACTAAGAAAATAGTCTGCAATCCCATCCAGGTTGTGGCAAATGCCATTAATTCATTCCTTTTATGGCTGAGTAGTATTCCGTTGTATATATATATCACAGTTTCTTTATCCACTCATTGATTGATGGGCATTTCTTTTAACATTGACCTATGTTGAGGGTCAGTTTTACATATTTGGAAGCAAAACCTGAATAAAAATATTTAGAAATAATTAAGATTTTACTTTAAATATTGATATTTTTATTTTACTTATTTATTTTTGTGCATGAATAAGTTCTTTAGTGGTGATTTCTGCGATTTTAGTGCAGCCATCATAGCTTAGCTCCTACTTGTGAGTAAGAACATGTAATGTTTGGTTTACCATTCCTGAGTTACTTCAGTTAGAATAATGCTCTCAAATTCCATCCAGCGTGAATGCCTTTATTTCATTCCTTCTTATGACTGAGTAGCAATCAGTGGTGTGTGTATGTGTATATATTTGCTTGTTGATTAATGGACATGTGGGCTGGTTTCGTATTTTTACAATTGTGAATTGTGCTGATATAAACATGAATGTACAAGTATCTTTTTTGTTTTTGCTTTTTCACAGGGTGGACTTACACCATTTTTACTTGCCGTAGTTGAACAAAAACAGCAAATGGTAGAATTTTTAGTGAAGAAGAAAGCAAATTTAAATGCTGTTGACAACTTTAAAAGGTACACTATGTTGACAAAGAGAGTCAAACTGTAAACTATTTGAAGAAATTTATTCTGAGCCACATGTGAGTGACCATGACATAGCCCTTAGGAGGTCCTGAGAACATGGGCCCAAGGTGATGGAAGCACAGCTTGGTTTTATACATTTTAGGGAGGCGTGAGCCATCAATCAAATATGTTTAAGAAATACATTGGTTTGATCCAGAAAGGCAGAACAATTCAAAGGGCAGGGGGTTCCAGGGTATAGGTAAATTTAAACATTTTCTGGTTGACAGTTGGTTAATTGGTTGAGTTTGTCTAAAGACCTGGGAAATGTTCAGGTCAAGATAAAAGATTGTGGAGACCAAGGTTCTTTTGATATCTTATATTGGTTGCCCTTAGAGACAATAGATGACAAATGTTTCCTATTCAGATCTTTTATTTTTATTTTTATTTTTTGAGACAGAATCTCACTCTGTCGCCCAGTCTGGAGTGCAGTGGCATGATCTGGGCTCACTGCGAGCTCCGCCTCCTGGGTTCACGCCCTTCTCCTGCCTCAGCCTCCCAAGTAGCTGGGACTACAGGCGCCCACCACCACGCCCGGCTAATTTTTTTGTATTTTTAGGAGAGGCGGGGTTTCACTGTGTTAGCCAGGATGGTCTCGATCTTCTGATCTCATGATCCTCCCATCTCAGCCTCCCAAAGTGCTGGAATTACAGGCGTGAGCCACACTGCACCCGGCCCAGATCTTTAAAAGATGGTAGACTATTAATTAATCTCTTTAGTGTTGGGAGGGCCTGGAAGAAAAAGATCTTGCTGTGTTAATAGAGATTCTTTACAGATGCAAATTTTCCCCCACAAAGGACAGCTTTGCAGGGCCGTTTCAAGCTGCGGCAAAGAAATGTTTTTGGGGATAAAATATTTTGATTTTTTCCCTTGTCTCATAGTGTTATGCCAGAGTCAGGTTGGAAAGTAAGTCCTGATATATAGGGTTCAATAAAGCCCATCTGATGAGAATTTATGGTTTGTAAGGCGTGACTCACCAGACCCCTTAGACAGGAATTTGGGAAAGAAAAAAAAAGCAGAGCTTAGTCCTCAACTAGTTGTTGTTGTTTTTCAACTTGTATTGCTCTAGAGTAGTAACAGTCACTCAAGTCAGAAATAATAAATTAATAAGAAGATTAACTTATGGGGATATAGTAAAAAATACCAACACAAATTATCGGTTAAATAGACAGTTATTTGGACTGGGGAGTGTGAAGAAGGGCATATATAGGACTCATCTTCTCTTATTATGTTGACTGATGTTTATTATTTGTGATGTGATGTTTTTGTCATATGAACTTATATTAGCTAAAGGGATTTCATATTAGTTTTGTTAGTTTTCTGAAGTGCGAACTTTTACTTTCTGACTCAGTATTGAACGGATTCATAACGCTTTTATAGTGGCTTTTAACTTCTGCTGCTTATATTCTTTTCCATTAAATATTCTCTATTAAACATAAATAGGAGTGGAAAATCATTTTGCCTTTTGGAGGACTCTGCGCTAAGTTGCATTCTTTGAAGAATATTGATGACAAGTTATTTCTACATGATGGTTAATTGCTATTACCAGATACCGTGGGTTCATCTTTTTTTTTTTCTTTTTTATCTCTAGTGTATTTTGATGTTTTTAGTTTTAGTTTGTGTGGGCAGAGGGAGTGAAGATAGTTTTAAGTGGATACACTTTTCCTTTAATGAAGGAAAATTGTAGGTGGGTGATAAAGAGAATAGAGCTAAGCTTTAGATTCTTACAAGACTGGGTTTAATTCCTAGCTTTCCCACTTGCTAGGTGTGTGACGTTGCTGTTTGCATGCTGCTAATAAAGACATACCTGAGACTGTGTAATTTATAAAGGAAAGAGGTTTCATTTACTCACCATTCTGCACGGCTAGGGAGGCCTCACAATCATGGTGGAAGGTGAATGAGGAGCAAAGTCTTACATGGCAGCAGGCAAGAGAGCTTGTGCAGGGAAGCTTCCATTTATAAAACCATCAGATCTCATGAGACTTACTGTCTACCATGAGACAAGTATAGGGGAAAGTGCCCCCATGATTTAATTATCTCCACCTGGTCCTGCCCTTGACATGTGGGGATTACTACAATTCAAGGTGAGATTTGGGTGGGGACACAGCCAAACCATATCACCTTGGAAACATTACTTATCACCAAATATGTTGTCCTGTGTGAAGAGGATAATAAAGGAGGATAATATATCCTTCATGGGTGGCTGTGTGTAAGAAAGAAAGATTATATATATAGCATGTAATGTGGTTCCTAGCACATGCTAGGTTACCATCATCATTAACTGAAAATCCTATGACTACTATTATTACCATAATTATTAATGTTACTGCTTTCACCTTCCAAACAGCTCTTACTGATAGGTCCCTTAGTTTATTTTTAATTACAACATGTAAGTCCAGGAAAGCAGTGGAGAAATCTTTACTTAAAACTTTGCCTACTTTAGATAAGTGACCACAGCATGGTTTCTTGCCCATCAAAGGACTTTATTTAGCAACTTCTATTATGTAATAGTTGACTGGGACAAGAGGCTTCCTCTTTGTCCCTTTGTTTTAGCCTTGGTGGTAATTTACAAAGACAAAGGCTTCTGCACCTCTGATGCTTATGTATGTTAACACATGTAAATGTTTAATTCTACATGGACAGGTAAGATATTAAATTGGTAAGGCATACCAAATTAGCTTTTAAAATTTAGAGTCCCTAAGAGTGAAGTTTATCTCTGTTATTTTAGAACAGCCCTCATACTTGCTGTATGTTGTGGATCAGAAATTATGGTCAGCATTCTTCTTCAGCTAAATATTGATGTCTTTTCTCAAGATATATATGGACGAACAGCAGAAGACTATGCTGTTTCTAGGCATTATATTAAGTAAGTGTTTACATTGAAAGGCTATTAACACAAAATGTTAAGGTTTAAAATGCTTATAACTATCAAATCTTGTATGATATTTCTTAGTTCAGTTCAGGAGAGGCAGTGATTTAGTCGACTTCATCAGCCAGAAATCAAGCAAAAGGCTAGACTAGATAGAAGTGGCAATTGATGCAGGATTCTTTATCTCAGGACTTTTAACTTTTATCTTTAGGAATCTCAATGTTGTCCATTTTATTCCAAGAGTAACCCTTGTACAAGGGATACAAATAGTGTAACATTTTTTATTTTTCTAATTAGTTATTTGGGTCTTGAAATGGACAGTTTAGCAGAAAGTCTTGTACTGTCTTCTGTGGGCTATCTCCTATATCCTCCTCTTTGATTTTTTCAAGAACCTAAGGGGTTCCCTAATTACAAGGTAGAAAATCTTTTTACAAGTCAGAAGGAGGAGAGAAAAAGGACATTCTAGTCAGTCTGTTCTTTCTGTCAATCCTGTTGCTGCATTGATGCCATTGAAACTGGTCTTGCAGTCTATTAATGATTGACATTTGCCACCAGGATGCCTTTACTGGATTCAGAACCCTCAGTCCTCATGGTGATACATGCATAGACTTCAAAGTTACAGCTGTTTTAGTTCACATACCTAAGCTTATGTGTTCCCATTGTTCCTACACCATTGTTCCCAAAGCACCAGCACCCTGTTCTGGCAGCTGGACCTTCTAGCTTTAACCACAAACAGCACATGACCCTTCCCCCGACATGTAAAACCTATGTGGAACCCACATCTTAGCCTAGACATAGCTAAGACTTTCATGGTATGTTATCCTTTGAAGCCCTTGTTGACCTTTTCTTTAGTGTGAATATTAGTTAGGGTTGTTCTAAACTGTCAGAGAGGTTCAAATCATGTTGTAGAAAGAGATCAGAGTTTCTTTTCTTTGCTACCAGATCTGTATCTTGAAGCTCCTCTTTATCCTTATAGTGTCTTTTCTTGGGTGGTAAAAAGTCTCATATCACCCTTATGCAGAGCAGTGGGCCCCTCAAGACAGTTGTTTTCCACAGTATTGAAAATCTCCCAAACTGCTTGCATCTCTACCTGAAGTTTTAAAAATATTTTCAAATTTTACCTCATAGGAAGCCATTCAGTAGAATTCTTGGAATCTCAGTAGGTTAGTTGGATTTATCAGAGTCAAGGCTCATCTGTGACTCATCACTATCCATATACAAAAATAGGGCTTTGTGCTTCCTTTGGCAGCACATATCCTAAAATTGGAACAATACAGAGAAAATTTGCATGGCCCCTGCATAAGGATGACACATAAATTTTGAAAGTGCTACATATCTTGCACAGTCACTGGGAGATCATTTGACTATTTGCTGGCTAACCCTGAGGAGACGGTGTGAGTCTTTGTGATTTACACTACAAAAATATTCATGTAAGGTGATCTATAAGATGAGAACGAAGCTGAGTAACACTTGAGATGTTGTGTGGAAATGTATTGTGAGTACGTCCCTTAGAAATAAGAAAATGTCGACATACATCTCCTTTACAAATACATTTTGTCTTCCATGTCAGTTGGAAATGAATGTGGAGATTAAGCATCACTGTAATAAAGGTCTGCTTGTTCAGAGTTTGAGTCTGTAGAGAAGAAATAGTAGTGTAAGCCAGGTTTTGACATTCAGAGTTTCTTTTCTTTGCTACCAGATCTGTACCCTGCAGCTCCTTTTTATCCTTATAATGTCTTTTCTCAGGTGGTAAAAAGTCTCAATTCTCTCTTATGCAGAGGGTGATATTGAGAATCTCTGAATTACAAGCCACAAAGAATAAGACAACTAATAAGCGAAATTAGGACTCTTATTTTTTTGTAAAATTAGGACTTAAAAACATTTTCTGAAGATTACAATATTAGAACCTAATATTGTATTAATTAGGATTAATATTAGAATATTCGAATATTAGAATATTAGAACCTATGAAAAAACACACATTGGGTTTTATTTGGAATTCCAAGATAGTTTCAGCAATAAAGCTTAAGAACAGTTTATTTTATTGCTTCAAATTTAAAAAATGTTAATCTCATTCAGTCTCTGTAATCGCCTACCGAAATAAGGCAACAAAATCCTCACTTTTTAGAAGAATTTAATATATATGGTAAATATTTTATATTGGTATTAAAATATTAGTAATTTTATTTATTTTTTATACTTAGAATTTGCCAACAACTTTCTGACTACAAAGAAAAAAATATACCAAGAAACACTTCTCAAAATAGCGATCTAGGTAAGACTTCTGATAGTGAATTACTCTTGGTGGTTGTACCATAGATAAAAAAGTAAGAGAAGTTTGAGAAATTCCTTTGTAAATTGCACATTCTTAATTTTTTCCTCAGTAGATTTCAGAAATATTTAAGAACTTCATTGTAGGTAATTTATAATGGCAAACAGTATTGCCTGAAAAAAATTATTTAATTATGGTTCCTAAAATTCTGTATAATATCTCTGTATAAATAAGAAAAAAATACTTTTAGGATGTTGTGTATTTTCTTTATAGTCATATTATAAATTGAAGTTGTTATAAAATTAAATATTCGATTTAATTTGTAAAATAAGTGGTTTGCATTTAGTAAATGAATATTATAGTTGGTCCTTGAACAATGTGGGATTTAGGGTTGCCAATCCCTTGTGAAGTTGAAAATTTGTGTATGATTTTTTATTTTCCCCAAAACTTAGCTACTAATAGTCTACTGTTGCCCAGAAACCTTACTGATAACATAGTTAGTTAAGACATATTCGGTATGCTATATATATTATATACTGTATTCTTAAGATAAAGTAAACTAGAGAAGATAAACTGTTATTAAGATAATCATATGGAAGAAAATGTGTCCTATTCATTAAGTGGAAGTGGATTGTGATAAGTCTTTATCCTCATAGTTTTCAAGTTGGTCAAGCTGAGGAAAAGGAGAAAGAGCAGTATTGGTCTTGCTGTCTGAGGTGCCAGAAGTGGGAGAAAATCTGTGTAGAAGTAGAGACCCCTGCAGTTTAAATTACACACATTCAACTTCTCCAACACACTGGGTTTTTATTCAGCCACAATTCACCATTCAGCCCCTGACTCAAACCTGTTCACAATCTAGTATCTAGCTTCACTAGATAGAGAAGCTATTGAAACTGTGGAAAACAGTGTTTTCTGTCACTAAAAAAGTAACTACCTTTAAAATGGAAAACCCAACAATGCCTTTTTGTTACCATAAGCAAATGGTAATAAGAACTGCAAAACTTAGCCAGTGTGCACCAATACCAAGAGGAAATTATTTTTCAAAGATACCTGCTGAGTCCAGAAGTCAGAAAAGCAATTCCTCGTTAAGAAGCATAGGCCGTGTTACATATTCTTCTAGCAACAAGGTCACACCATTATTGACTTCATTACTCCTAATTTAAAATTGAATGCCATATAGTAACTTTCTTAGAACAAGATGTGTTCTTCTACCTGCTGGTCAATTGTCATGGTAAAAGTAATTTTGTTTGAACAAGATACTGATATCATTAGCCAAAAGATTATCATAATCAGTATTCAAATTGCCCAACTATAGGCTCAACAAATTATAACAAAAGCATAAAAATGTTTCACAATAATAAAAATGCTACTTTGCTATCTGCATGTAACTCCTAATACACTGTACAGTCTGAACAGTGTCAGTACACCTTTAATTGCTTGCATATTTATCCAGGTGCTTCTGTGAGTTAGATTTCGCATGTTGCAGAAGACAAAGATGGGGTAGACATAGTTCTGGTGTTTAAGGTGCTCATAATGGAATAGAGCTGTCTCTATTTCATTTGTGTTTTTCAACAGAATTTCCCAAAAAACAGTGTTTTTATTCATTTATTGAGCTGTCCACTTAAGAAATAACTGTCAAGTGTCTTTCAGATGTTAAGCATTTTTGTAATGTCACAGAATACAAACATTTAAAAATACAGTCAGGGCCAGGCATGGTGGCTCACACCTGTAATTCCAGCACTTTGGGAGGCTGATGCAGGTGGATCACTTGAGGCCAGGAGTTTGAGACCAGCCTGGCCGACATGGTGAAATGCCGTCTCTACTGAAAATACAAAAATTAGCCGGGCATGGTGGTGCATGCCTGTAATCCCAGCTACTTGGGAGGCTGAGGCACAAGAATCGTTTGAATCTGGGAGGCAGAGGTTGCCATCAGCTGAGATGATGCCACTGCTCTCCAGCCTGGGTGACCCAGCAAGACTCTGTTTCAAAACAGAAACAAAACTACATGCAGGAGCTTGTTATTATCATTAGCATCTAATAATGTTATCAAGTAATCAAGTAATAACTTGCTACTTTATTAAGTGCTTACTGTGTGCTAAGATGCCCTCTGGAAGCTTATAATTGTCCTTTATTACATATTTATTGTTCAATATGTGCCAGACACTTTACGTGGTGAGAAATGAGAGCTTTAAGTGGGTAGGATTTAAGGTAAGAAGGCAGGGTTAGTTGAACTTTTATAGGTCAGGAAGCAGAGAATGGTGTTTAAAGAAGGAATATCTAACAAGACTGTATGGCAGAACTAACATCTAATGAGATTGCACTTTTGGCAGAAGGAACATCTTACAAGATTGTGTGTTTGGCAGAAGGAACATCTAATGACGTTGTGGCAGAAGGAGCAGCAAGTGCAAAAGGTAATATGCTTAAGTGAACTTTGCAGGGTTTACGAGCACTTCCCTTTTGCTAATGTGAAAAGTGTGAGATGTGAGTGGTTGGGAATAAAGTGAATACCTAGCTAAGGCAAATTTATGACTGCCTTTTTTATACTATAGAGGTGAGTAGATCTTATCCTGTAGACCATGAGAAATTTACCGGGTAGAATGCTTTGGGCTGCAAATACTAGATGAGATAAATAAAAGTGGCTAAAACAGTAGGGACTAGAGTTGTTTTGGTGGTTCGGTGATATCATCAGATCCCACTTGTCCCTCTTTCAGCTATGCTGTTGTCCGTGTATTGTTCATGTCCCCTTTCGTGATTGGCTAATTAGCAACAGCTCCAAAAATCATGTTTTCACAATACAATATCCAAAGGCTAGAAGGGCTGATTTTCTTCACGTTTTATTGAAATAGAAATCTCAGAATTATGCAGTGGACTTCCTGCAACATTTTATGGGCTGAGTAACATCACATGTTCTTTCCTAACCAGGCACTGGGATAGCAAATGGAGTTACTGTGATTAGCTTAGGATAACTGTTTCTCTTTTTGGAGCTGGGGAAGCATATTAGTATGCTAAATATCCTGATACTTTTGTGTCCTCTGTGTATTCTCAAATAGCCCATCTTCAAGCTCACAATTTTTTTCTTCTGCTTGATTTATTATTTTACTAAAAGACTGATGCATTCTATAGTATGCCAGTTGCATTTTTTTATTTCAGAATTTCTGCTTGATTCTGAGTTAATCTTTGTGTTATTGTGAATTTTTTTGCTATTTGAGTTTGATACTGTTCACTTACAATACAGATTTTGCTAATAATACCAGTCAATTTGACAGAGTTCAGTTAGGATTATGATTATTGAACATAGCAGTTCACTTGTAGGTATCACATTTTTATAAATCCCATTCTCTGTTGAATTTGATAGATGCAAAGAAGGGAAAGTAAGAATTCTTAAATTATTAATTGGCTGTCAATAATGTAATTAATATTAATTTTAGTATAGTCTCCAGGTATAATCTGAAAAAGAATACTTGGTAAGAAAGCATTAATCTTATGCTTTAAAAAACATTAAAAAACAAGGTCTAAAGCATTCATCAAAGTGTGCATAACTTTTAAAAATGAAGATGGCAGAGTCTTGTTATATTATCCACTTTGGTCTCAAACTCCTGGGCTCCTCAAGCAATCTTTCAGCCTCAGCCTCCTGAGTAGCTGAGATTACAAGCAGGTACCACCAGGCCCTTTTAGGCTTTTAATATTCTACGTTTTTCTATTGTTGATTAAAATGCATTTTACTTTTTTTTAAAAAATAGTGGATGGGCGTTCTGAAGACTCTGCTGTCAGGTAGGATTCACAGATTTTTAAAAATTATATGTTAACTAAGGTAATACAGAGAAAAGAAACTAACATCTCTTGAGTGTTGTACTCTGGGCTAGAAACCATATTATATGCTTAACTCATACAGTCATCATAACAGCTTTGCAAACTATCCAGGCTATTATAACCAACTTTTTACTAATTAAGCAACTGTGGTTCAGAGAAGTTAACTGGCCATGATCCGATAATTAACAAGCAGCTGACCTATGATTTGACCATCAGCTTGCTAGACTCCCAAGCTCCTTCTCTGTCCCTCAGCATAGACTGATAGATACTGTGCAGCCCTGGGATCAAGGTACAGGTACAAATTAGATGAATTCAGAAAGTCAGATCTAGTTATATATTAACTCTGGCTTACACACTTTTCCTTAGAAGCCTGTTTAATTTAAGAGTTTGTCCTAATATACTGAACAATTTCGGTGGTAACCAGTGCCTCATTTTTACCCTCAAAGGTTTCAGGGCAGGTCTCATTTAGCTATAGCCACAGGACCATGGGTTTTCCTTAAGCAAGACCAGGCAAGTCCTGAAGAGGAATTATTTTCTTGTAAGTGAAGGGTATCTACATATAGACCATGTTATGATAAGTATATTTCACATCTAGTTAGAGGCTGTTTCTAATTGATTTCTCTACTTACTGACTTCCCAGTTTAGTTTTCTCTTTAGTTTGCCCTGCCTAGTTCCATGAAACTGTTTCCTCAAAATCTGATTTTTCTATAATCTTTTCTTGAGTTTTAACCTTCCTCTCTGCTTTTCTTGGTGTTTTTTTTTTCTGTTATTTTTTTTCCATTTCTTCCAGCTAAGTATTCCCCCTTTCTCTAGAGACAAAATCAAAAGCACATAGAATTTCAGGATTTTAAGGAATCTTAGTGAGAAATTGAAATATCCTCTAGTACTTCAATCTGTGTTTAACACCCTGGTCAATTGGTTGCTCAGATGGAGAACCTGAAACTGAAAGAGGTTAAAGTTACCTATTTGTTTATAGGAAGTGGCAGAAATGAGAGTGGAACTCCTGAACTCCTTTGAAAGCTCAGTGCTCTTCCTTTTTTTTATCATCCTGTTGGTGGGTTTTTTTAATAATGGAAAGGGAAAGTGGGAATAGGGAAAACAGTGGAAGAAGAAAGATGGAATTAACTGGTGAACGTAATGGTAGAGGATAAGTATGAAATTAGCAGAGAAAGGCCTAGTTTGAAGAGAAACAACACTGAGTAAGGTAGGAATAAGGGTTATAGAAAAGAGATCAGAATATTAGGGTTTATGACAAATTTGATAAAGATAAGTTATAGGAATGAAGCATACAGGACATTGGGAGTTATCTAGAAAGGCATATTAAAATAGGTTCAAAGGAGTCCTGGACAAGTTGCTGCCTTTTTGTTTGTTAAATTGGAGCAAGTGACACACTTCAAGGTTTCACCACAACTTGCAGAGGGTGTCTCAGAGCCCCTCCAGTACCAGGGGCCTGGAGGTTGCTGAACTACATAGATCTGTGGCCCAGGGACAGGTGTCCTCTCACCTGCCTCTTTTTCTAATCCACTGACATCCTTCCCATGCCCATGTAGGCTAGGGCAGGGGTGGGATTGGCTGGCAAATAAGTCATGGAGCTTCAGTTGAGTCGTTGTTACCGCATCTATGCTGGGGCAGATGACAGATTCCCTTTAGCTTGTTTTCCAGGAAATAGAGAACTCCTGGTTTTGGTAATTGGAACCCACCCCTTTAGGAGTTTGTACTTCCACTGGCTGAATATTTAAAGGTGGAGGTTGCCACAGAGCCTTGCAGAAGAGGAATCTACAAGTGGGAGCCCATAGGAAGGAAGATAGATAGTCCTTAGGGAAACAGAGGTACAACTACCAGGACTGTGTTTTTCCAGCAATCTCTCTCCTCGGTTATCTGAGAGCCTCTGAAAGATTTTAAAGGGCTTGCTAGTTTATGTGAACCTGAATAGGGCAGGACTTACACAGGGAAAGTAATTGGATTTTATAATTTTACTGTTTTAACCCTTCTGGGAATAGTGTTTTTAATAATAACATACATTTGTCCTCTGACTTTTGTATATTTAGCGTTTAGACTCCTTGTACTGTTTCAGGGTAAAGGGAAGCAATAAGGCCTTCTGAATTGATTTTCACACTGAAGAACCGAGACTACCACTTTCAAGTGACACAGATTAATCTTTGAACCAGAGATAGATAATGGAGAAAAGACAGTTTTTTCTTTTTTCTTTCCTTCTTTTTTTTTTCTTTCTTTGTTCCCTCCCTCCCTCCATTTTTCCTTCCTTCCTTCCTCCCTTCCCTTTCTTCCCCTCCCCTCCCTTTCTGTTCCTTTTTTCCTTCTTTTCCCTCCCTTTCTTTTTTCTTTCTTTCTTCCTCAGAGTCTCACTCTGTTGCCCAGGCTGGAGTACAGTGGTGTGATCTTGGCTCACTGCGGCCTCCACCTCCTGGGGTCAAACTGTCCTCTTAAAACAGCTTCCCAAGTAATTGTGACTACAGGTATGTGTGTAGCCTGTAGGTATGTGTGTAGCCTGGCTATTTTTTTTCAGGGCTGGGTTCTTGTCATGTTGCCCAGGCTGGTCTCCAACTCCTGGTCTCAAGCAATCCACCCACCTCAGCCTCTCAAATTGCTGGGATTACAGGCATGAACTACTGTGCCTGGCTGAGACACTGTATCTTTCTACCTTTTTTAAGGTTATCAGATTTGTTACAGTTCAGGTAACAAAAATTATGTAAGCTGTTAATTGGATTTTCAGTTCAGCCTCCAGGACATACAGTTTGTGAAGACCTATTATTCTCAGGCTCTGCCAATAGCTCTGGCTGTCATGATTTGTTCTGGAACTGAAGGTGTCTTCATTGACTATATTTGATATGTTGAGAGAGGTGGAAGGAGGTAACTAAAATCTTTTATAACAGGTTAAATTTTAATTGTATTAAGAAATATTATTTAATACACAGATAGCTGACCTCTCACCTGTTTGTTTTCTTTTTTTGGAGGAGACATCCAGATATGATCTTGGAAATTATTTTTAAAGAAATGAATGCACTAATTTTTATGTATATTTTTGCTCCAAAGGTTTTCTGGCAAACAAACTATTGATTATTTTTTGCCTACATCAGATTATGAAGACATTGATTCTGATATCAAGGTAAAAATGCTCTAATGAAATTAATTTTCTCATTCTGAATCTAGGTTTCTATATTTACTTTTAAAATTTAGCAGTGGTCTACTTATTGTTTTATGTTTGTAATGAATAGTTGGTTAGAGAAAGCCTTTTTTAGAAATACAACTAGTTGAGTTAATTTTTTTTTTTTTTTTTTGTACTTTGGTAAATAACAAATGATCGTTAAATACTAACAGGGTGAGGGTAAAACAAGAATGGCCTGGAAAATACAATGTAGCAGGGAAATTAGGTTAAGCTTTCTTACCATAGAGGAAATTTGACACATGGTCAAGGTTTATTTTGATAAGTATCCTTACTGTGGCTTTTAAATCATACACACCTTTATGATACTTATGGCTAATGAAATCTTTAATGGATCCAATTACTTATAGTAATCATGGAATCTCCTGGATGCCTTTCATTGTCAAACCTATACAGAAGAGAGCATATCATTTCTTTTTTTCCTTGGACACTTACTATTTTGGTATCATGTACTTGTTAAGAGAAAGCTTTTTCTCTGTTTCTATCCTTGATTGAGTAGTTAGACTAAAATAATATTAGAAATTACAGAAATTTGGCCAGGCGCAGTGGCTCATGCCTGTGATCCCAGCACTTTGGGAGGCTGAGGCAGGCGGATCACTTGAGACCAGGAGTTTGAGACCTGCAAAATATAGCCACACTTGGTGACATACACACCTGTAGTCCCATCTACTTGGGAGACTGAGGTGGGAGGATAGCTTGAGCCCAGGAGGTGAGCCAAGATCACACCAGCCTGGCCTACATGTTGAAACCCTGTGTCTACAAAAAATACACAAACTAGCCAGGTATGGTGGTACACGTCTGTAATCCCAGCTACTCGAGAAGCTGAGGCAGGAGAATCACTTGAACCCAGGAGGCGGAGGTTGCAGTGAGCTGAGATCATAGCCCTGCACCCCAGACTGGTGACAGAGTGAGACTCTGTCTCAAAAAAAAAAAAAAAAGTGGAAATTTAGTTGAGTATTGTGGCACATGCCTACAGTCCCAGCTATTAGAGAGGTTGAGGTTGAGGTGGGAGAATTTATTGAGCCCAGGAGTTAAACACCAGGCTGGCCAACATAGCAAGACCTTTTCTCTAATTAAAAACAATTGTGGAAAATTAGAAATGTACATTTTCTTCTCAAAATCTGTATTACAAAGAGATTCCACTGCGTTTTCCAAGTCATTTCATTAAGAATACACTTTTAAAACTCTTCATCTAAATGAAGAATACATATTTTGCCCAATATAACAGCCAGTTCTAGAAGCAGAGACTCTTAATAACCATAGAAGACTTTAATTTCATTTTTTTTTGCATTGTAGTTTGTGAAAATATCAACTCAAAATCCTTGTATTACGTACTTAAATTTTAAATTTCAGAAGTTTTTGTATTTAGCTACTTAAGTAATCATTTAAAAACTCCTGCATTAGTATGAGCTACTGGAGGTTAGGAAAAATATTTGTTTGTATCCCGGAGTACCTAGAATAACATCTTGCATGTAATAAGCTTCTAATATTTTGGAATGTAAATAAATTCATGGACAAATGGATTTCTATACAATGAAGGGTTACAAGTAACATAATATACATAACTAATAAATCTATTACATTTCTAAAATATGGCTTATATTTGTATTTCCCTTTTTTTGTGTGAGACGGAGTCTCACTGCGTCAATCAGGCTGGAGTGCGGAGTGGTACAATCTCGGCTCACTGCACCTCCACCTCCTTAGTTTAAGTGATTTTCCTGCTTCCACCTCCTGAGTATCTGGGATTACAGGCATGCACCCGCCATGCTGTCCAGGCTGGTTTCAAATTCCTGACTTCAAGTGATCTACCCACCTTCGACTCCCAATGTGCTGTGATTACAGGCATGAGCCACCATGCCCGGCCTGTATTTCCTTTTAATGTATACGATGCATAAATTCAGATGTGTTATATTGTAAACATATGCTATAAATAAGAAGGAAATGAATTAGAAATATGCTATCACTAGAAAAGATGATCACAGTATATTTTCTAGTATCGTTCAACTCTAAGCTTAGATTAGAATTTTAGATTAAAAAATTTAAACTTTCTTGAGCCTCAACTCATGTTCTAGCAAATCTATCTTTTCAAGCCATACGTTACTCTGTAGAATTCCAATTACTAATTCTTTGTCCAAGTGGAGCGTTTCTTTTTCCATTTTTCTCTCTCTGTAGTAATACTGTTCCAGCTTTCAGGTAGTGGTAGCTGATCATGTTTAACTAATTTAATATATCATTTTATAGTATAAAATTAAACTCTTTATTACAGCAATATTTACGAAACACTGATTTTGGAGTAAATACTGATCAGTATTGTTAGGGATATACTATGAACACAGGTCTCTATGATGTATCTGTATTTTTCCATGAACCTTCCTGTACTTGATGATATTTCCTTGGTTCCTGCTTGAAAATTATAGATGTATTTGAAAACTTAAATCATCAGCTTGGATAATCTTAGCCTAATTTTTTATGCTAGATCCTTTCTCCAATTTTTAGGTACCATTCTATATGGTGTAAATAGGAGATTAGAATTATTAGTATGTTGTTTACAGGGGAATAAGAAAGCTATGCAATTTTAAAAACAGGGCTTTACATTTCTCTCTTATGTTATACTAGTGCTGAAAAATGCCTCATCATTCTGTAATCACAGAAGCATTTCTCTTCTACAGTTTCAAACTTCAGAATTTTTGAAAAGGGATGTTCTGGCAGCATTTTGAATTGATGTTTTAAAATTAAAATTTTTGACTCAATTTGAAGTGCATGTTACCACAATATTCCAGAAATAAATGTTTGCATGTATTAATAAAAGTGTATCTTATATTTTTGAAAAAAATGTTGAAATATGTAATTGCAAAATTGAATCTCATAATTTATTTTTTGTACTTATTTTCATTTTCAAAATTTCAGAGTTCTCTATAGGCTTGCATGATTTAATTCTACTGATTTTGATCCTTTTGACTTTTTGTGACCTACTATCATCTGGTTTTTCTATCCTAGTCAATAATACCTAGTAAGTAGCACTGAAATGTCGAAGTGGAAGAAATTTTGGGTTTCAGCCCTCCCTCAAATCACCAGTCCAGTCACTCACCAAGCTCCATATTTTCCACGAGCTTACTATTTTTATATCTTACTACTGTAATTCACTCTCTGACCCATAATTTTGAAATACTCTTGTCTAGTTTTGTCCCCCTCATCATGTTCTGTTCGTGTAACTTTACATTGCTGCCAAGGTGACCTTTCTAACATATTTTTATTATGATCTAACTCATCTGCTTTTGCGTGGATCCTTATTACATCCTGGGGAAAGCTCACAGTGTAGCAGGATACACAGGATACATATTTTTGTGTTTTGGCCTGATTCTCCCATTTTATCTCTTTATCTCATTCACTCTGTGTTCCAGTTTTATCATTACTTTGGTAGCCCTCATTTGCCATGCCTCTTTTTTTTTTATTTTTTATTTTTTTACTTTTTTTTCTCATGCTGTCCTGTATAGGAACCCTAATGTCCTCACTCTACACTTTGTCTCTCTTTCAGAATAGTCCCTATCTTTGCAGCATTTCCTGAACTTCTCAGGTAGAACTGACTGTTAGCCCTTTTGTGCCCTTACTGTACTTGGTTCACTTCAGTTGTAGAACTAGTGAATTATGCTTTTCTGTTTTTATTTGTTTTCATATATTTCTACCCTCAATCAACTATAAGGCAGAATCTATCTTGTATATACATATTCATCTTCTCGCAGGATATTGCCTATGATTTGATAGACACAGTGAATGTTTGAGGTCTTACTGGTTGAATGATTGAGTGGTAGAGTGAATAAACACAATGTTTCCTGAAGTTTGTTGTTGTTGTTGTTTTTTAATAGGATGGACCAATTAAGCCAGCAAATGGACAAAGACAAAATGATACTGGTGTTACTGCAAGTGCCCCACAAGAATACACAAATAATGACAGTTTAATTTTTGTTGACAAAAACAACAGAAGTGGTAAGTTAGTGAATATCTGTGAGAATTTTTTAATGCTTACATGCTATTATTAAAACACATTAAAGTATGTGAGACTCAAATACAATATTCAGCTCTTTGAAATATTTTTACTGTCTTTCTTCATATTACCAATTTCTTCCTAAATCTACTTTAATCCTCTGAATTTCTATTTTGCTATTCTACTTTATTGAGATATTTGTGAATGCGTGCAGCCTTGTTTATGTATTTAAGATTCAGGGTGGTAAGTATTCTCATAACTCTCTTTGTTCATAATGTTTTACAGATACAACAGCCACATCAGGATCCGGCCAAGACAGAAATATGGAATGACTTTTGGATTCTGAGGTATTGTCTATTGTTTTTGTTGTTACCATTTTAAAATATAAGCATTAGTGATGTTAAAACGTTAAAGAAGATACTTTCACTTTGCTTTCTCACCGCTGTTTGTGCTTATAAGGAATTATTTTCTTACGTTTTCAGCCCCTAACTAATAAAGCAGTTATGGACTGAGTATATTGCTACTGCATAGTACAATTTGGCTAATTTGCAGAATTCATTTGAAGCCAGTGTAGTACAGTTCAAAAACAAAGCTCAGAAGTCACAAGGAATGAGTTTGGATTCTTAAGTAAAAGGATTGGTAAATACTAAGAGGGGGTAGAGATGAAAATAATGGGCTTTTAAATACATTGTGATACAACAATTATAGTAGGCTAAGCTTTCTTACCATAGAAGAAATATGAAATATGGCCAAGGTTTATTTGGATAAGTATTTTTACTGTGACTTTTAATTCATGCAAACAGGCCCAGTGTGGTGGCTCACACCTGTAATCCTTGCACTTAAGAGAGGCCGAGGTAGGCAGATCACCTGAGGTCAGGAGTTCGAGACCAGCCTGACCAACATGGTGAAACCCTGTCTCTACTAAAAGTACAAAAATTAACCAGGTGTGGTGGCGGGTACCTGTAATCCCAGCTACTTGGGAGGCTGAGGCAGGAGAATCACTTGAATCCAGGAAGCAGAGGTCGCAGTGAGCCAAGATGGCGCCACTGCACTCCAGCCTGGGCATCAGAATGAGACTCTATCTCAAAATCAATCAATCAATCATGCTAACATGACTTATAAAACTTACCATTAACTAAATCTTTAATGGACACAGTTACTTACAGTAATCATGGAATCTCTCTGGTGCTTTTCATTTCTAAAACTGAACAGTAGATAGCATATTCTTTTTTTCTTGAACACTTATTATTTTGGTATCATACATTTTCAAAATGTTTTTATTTTAATTTTTGTTGAGTACATAGTAAGTGTATATATTTATGAGTTACTTGAGATATTTTAATACAGACATGCAATATGTAATAATCACATCAGGGTAAACTGTATTGATCACCTTGAGCATTCATCCTTTGTGCTTCACATAATCCAATTATATTCTTTTAGCTATTTTAAAATGTACAATTAAGTTGTCTTTTACTGTAGTCGTCCTGTTGTGCTAGCAAATCCCAGGCCTTATACCTTCTGGTTTTTTGGTACACATCAATCGTCCGCCAACCCCACACTCTACAGCTATACTTCCCATCCTCTGGTAACGATCCTTATTCTCCCTATCTCAATATATTGAATTGTTTTGATTTTTTGAACCCATAGATAAGTGGGCAATATTTTTCTTTCTGTGTCTGATTTATTTGACTTAACATAATGATCTCTAGTTTAATCCTGTTATTGCAAATGACATTTTCCTTACATTTGAAAAAAAAATTTCAATAGTTTTTGGAGTACAGGTTGGTTTTGGTTACATGGATAAGTTCTTACATGGTGATTTCGGAGATGTTAGTGCATCCGTCACCTGAGCAGTGTACACTGTACCCAATGTGTAGTCTTTTATCTTCCAACACCTTCCCACCCTTCCTCCCCACCTCCCCAGAGGCCGTTATATTATTCTTATGCCTTTGTGTCCTCCTAGCTTAGCTCCCACAGAACATACAGTATTTGGTTTTCCTGAGTTAACTTTACTTAGAATAATGGCCTCCGGCTCCATTCAAGTTGCTGCAAAAGACATTAGTTCCTTCATTTTTTATGTATGAGTGTATTCCATGGTGTCTATATACCAGATCTTCTTTATCCACTCATTGGTTAGTGGGCACTTAGGTTGGTTCCGTATCTTTGCAGAAGTGCTATCTGGGAGTCAGGGACTAGAGTGAAAAACCTCAGAATTTTACTTGGTATTCTGTTGTGCTGTGGCTGAGCTGGGCCTCACACCGCAAGGTGCAGTGCTTCCCACTCTTACCTCTCCTGTTGGATGGCCGAGGAGCCTCGCCCTGTGGCCAGTGCCACCACAGGTTCTTAGGGCGCACTGCCAGGCTACCGCTGATGTCCACAGGTTCTTAGGGAGCACTGCCAGGCTACCGCTGATGTCCACAGGTTCTTAGGGAGCACTGCCAGGCTACCGCTGATGTCCACAGGTTCTTAGGGAGCACTGCCAGGCTACCGCTGATGTTCTGGTAAGGCCTGAGGGCTCTTCAGTTAGCTTGTGGTGAATGTTGCCTGGCCTGGCACCCTTCAGGGGAGTGGGCTCCCATTTGGCCCAGGGATGGTCCAGAAATGCTGTCCAAGAGCCAAGGACTGGAATTGGGGACCCCAGGGGCCTGCTTGGTGCTCTAGTCTTTGTGGTCCAGCTGGTACCTAAGATGCAAGTCAAAGACCCCTTTACTTTTCCCTCTGCCTTTCTCAAGCAGAAGGAGTCTTTCCTTCTAGCCATTACAGCTGGAAATATCCTGTCTCACCTGAGGCTAGTGTCAGTGTTTCACCTAGGACCTCAACGTAATACCTGTGTGTCACTGCTGGTTATTCAGGGTCCATGGGCTCTTCAGTTAGTAGGCGATGAATATTGCCACGAATGAGTTCTCCCCATCTCCAGGGAGTTCCCTGTGGCCCAGGGAGTATCTAGAAACACCATATCAGAACTAAGGCCTGTAAGGGGGGACTCATGACTCTGACCAGTGTCCTACTCTGTTGTAGCTGAGCTGGTATTTAAGATACAAGACAAAGTCTACTCACTGTTTCCTTTCCACTCCTCAAGCGGAAGGAAGGTGTGTTTTTTGGTGCCCCAAGCTGTTCAGCCTGGGATTGGAGGAGGAGTAGCACCAGCACTTTTGTACATGCCCCGCCCCATCGTCCTCTGGCTTATAGCACAGTTCAGCACTTGGACCCACCTGGGAATTGGAGTCCTTGTGGCTTAGACTGCCTTTCAAGTTTTAAGTAGGGCCCTGGGACAATTTAGCATGCTGGTGACAAGGCTTGTGGGAACTCAAGTTGTGGTTACTGGGATGGGTGATTCCCCTCTGGCCAGGGCTGGTTTAAATGCTCTCTCTGTGGGTGAGCATCAGCTAAGTTTATTCCAGTTTTGCTTTTTGCTATAATAGGGCAACACTGAGTTTAATGCAACATCTCACAATTGCTTTACCCTCTCCAAGTGCTCAGATTCTCTCTGTACCATGCTACCACTGCTGGGGGATGTGGGAGTGTTAACATCGATGATTCAAGACTGTTTTTCCTACCTCTTCAGTGCCTCTTGTAGTCGTCAGAAGTTAAAACCAGGCGCTTTCAGTGTTCACCTGATTTTTGGTTCTTACAAAGGTGTTTTATTTCTGTAGGTAGTTGTTAGATTGGTGTCCTTGTTGGGAAATAATTGATGGAGCCTTTTATTCTGCCATTTTGCTTGCCTCCTTTTTTGGTATCATACACTTCTTAGAAGAGAAGTTTATTTTCTGTTTCTATCCTTGGTTCTGTAATTAGAATAAAATCATATTAGAAATTATGTAAATTTAGTTGGGAATTGTGGCACACGCCTACAGCTGCAGCTATTGAGGAGGCTGACGTGGGAGAATTTCTTGAACCCAGGAGTTAAAGACCAGGCTGATTAACAGAGTGAGACCTTTTTACTAATTAAAAAAAATGTGGAATTTTAGAAATGTAAATTTCCTCTCTCAAAATCTGTATTACAAAGGTATTCCACTGTGTTTTCTAAGTCATTTCATTAAGAATATACTCAAAATTCTTCATCTAATTGAATAATACATATTTTGCCCAAAATAACAATTCTAGAAGCAGACTCTTTGATAATCATATATAAGACTTTAATTTCAGTTTTTTTGTATTGTAGTTTGTGAAAATATCAACTCAAAATTCTTGTATTCTTAAATTTTAAATTTCAGAAGTTTTTGTATTTCACTATTTAAATAATTATTTAAACACTCTTGCATTAGTATGAACTACTGGAGGTTAGGAAACATATTTGTTTGTATCCTGGAGTACCTAGAATACATCTTGCATATAACAAGCATTATAATATTTTGAATGTAAATACATAAATGGACAAATGGATTTTTATGTAGTGGAGTATTAGAGGTAACATAATATGCATAACTTACTCAATAATTAAATCTCTTGCATTTCTAAAATATGGCTTAATCTGATATAGCCTTTTAATGTTTAGGATGTATAAATTCAGATGTGTTATGCTGTAAAAATATGTCATAAATAAGAAGGACGTGAATTAGAAATATACTATCAATAGAAAAGATGGTTACAGTGTATTTCCTAGTATCTTTCAACTCTTAAGCTTAGAATTTTAGATAAAAAATTTAAACTTTCTTGAGCCCCAACTCATGTTCTAGCAAATCGATCTTTTCAAGCCATACATTACTCTGTAGAATTCCAATTACTAATTCTTTGTCCAAGTGGAGCGTTTCTTTTTCCATTTTTCTCTCTCTGTAGTAATAATGTTCCAGCTTTCAGGTAGTGGTAGCTGATTATGTTTAACTAATGTATCATTTTAGAGTGTAAAATTAAACTCTTTATTACAGCAATATTTACAAAACACTGATTGTAAATACTGAACAGTATTATCTAGGTGATACTATAGACAGAAGTCTCTTTTGTGTATCTGTTTCTCCATGAACCATACTGTACTTGATTATTTTGTCTTGGGGCTTGCTTGATAATTATAGATGTATTTGAAAACTGTTCTGTTTTAGAAACTTTTATTTTAAGTTTAGGGGGTACATGTGCATGTTAGATATAGAGGAAAACTAGTGTCACGAGGGCTTGTTTTACATATTATCACCCAGGTATTAAACCTAATAATCATTAGTATTTTTCCTGATCCTTTCCTTCCTCCTACCCACAGTACATTCCAGTGTCGGTTGTTCCCCTCTCTGTGTCCATCTACTCTCATTATTTAGCTCTGACTTATAAGTAAGAACATGTGGTATTTGGCTTTCTGCTCCTATGTTAGTTTGCTAAGGATGATGTCCTCTAACTCCATTCA